GCCTCACGCCGCTCCCCTCTCTGTCTCCCGCGGCGCAGAGGGCGGGCGGCTGCACCGCGAGGCCAGCGAACGCTTCGCCGCCGGCTACATCCAGTGCATGCACGAGGTGCACACCTTCGTCTCCAGCTGCCCCGGCATCGACGCCACCACTGCTGCCGAGCTGCTCAACCACCTGCTGGAGTCCATGCCGCTCAACGAGGGCAGCTCCCTGGACTTGATTGCGGACGTTTTGGCGGATCCTGCCCTCAGCCCTTGGCCTGGCAGCGAGGTGCTGGCCCCAGTGGCCGAGGCCTCCCTGGGCCTGGCTCTCCCTGCCTCAGCACCCTCGCCTTCCCCTAGCGAAGACACCTGCTCCGACTCTGATGAGGTGGAGGCCGAGCTAGGCCAGACCGCCACCGTCAGACTGGATGCTTCCCGGACATGCGGCCTGCCTTCACCCGGCTTACCCAAATCGATGTGGAGACCTTGGTAACGGAGGAGCATGCGGGAGTCGATGCCGACCTACCTAGCAGGGAGAGCAGCTGGGCCCCGTGCTACCCTGCAGCCCTCTGAGCAGCGCCCCCGGACTGCCAGCACACATGCAGCTGGCATCGCTGCGTTTTGGGACTGCATCAGTGGCACTCTTACGCTGTCATGCCCTGACAGGCTAATAGATAAGCGTGTTAACATTTCATCTATGTGTGTGTGTGTGTGTGTGATATTTTGTAACTTTAGGGGTTATTTTTACCAGGGGTTGCGGCAGGGGGGAGGAGGGAGTGGGTTTTTAGTAGCAAAGCTCTTGGGTCGATACACAGCTGTTATAAAATAACCCTATCTCTTTCTCTTGGCCCTTATAAGTGGCCCAAATATAATTACTTTTTTCTTTAAAGAAAAAGCCCTTCTGCATTTTAAATCCTGATGGTTAACTCCATGAGAAGCTCAAGTTAAGTTTGCATGCACAGTTTTAAGTGTTTTAGTGATAGCAAAGATCCCTGAAAGGGGTTGGTGTGGCTAGCATCTGTACTCAGTAGCAGTCTAGAGTCTCACCTTCAGTGAAGGAGAAAACTAGAAGCCTCGTGGAATTAGATGAACAGTTAAAAGACTTTGGTGGCAGGGTGCCTTTTAGAAATGAGAGTGTCTTTACGCACATTTTGCTTTTAGCACATTTGAGTTTTTTGTGACTTTATGTATATTAGGGTGTCAAATATTTTTATTTTTAATCTTTAATAAAAAAATACTGAATTCACAACTGACTGCATGTATTGTGGAGTGTGATGCACTTCTAACCAGTTTAAAAAATTAAAAACGTAGTCCCCTATTGTTAAGTATTAACAAAAGCATGTATATATTGTGGAAACAATGCTGGTAATTAAGCACTTAATTCTTGTACTAAGCATTGTTAGCTCAAGTATTGGAATTCAAATGTTCCTTTTGTTTGGAAGACACTGAAGTTATTGCAGTGAGCAAGGTCATGCTGGTTTAAGGTTGATCTTGGGCCATAGATTTCTGGGCTAATTTATCTGGATGCCAGTCTCAAACCTAAGCTACTTGATCTGCCACTGAAGGTGCTGCTCATGCATCTAGTCCTAGCTTCAGAAGCACTAGGCAAATCCTGTCCTGGGGCATGACTTCCCAGGGGGGTTGGGTCTGGTGAGTCGTTTTGTTTTGGTTGTCTGAAGTTGTTTCAGTTTGGGTTTTTTTGTTTGTTTTTTTTTTTTTTCCCTCTTGAATGCAAAGTTGAGTAGACTGTGCAATGGATTTGGAAAGTATTCTCTAAAAAAGTGTTTCTAAGGGGCTGGGGGGGATCCTCAGCATTCTTGTACATGAGGTTTGACACCTCCCCTGTTCCTACTTTTGGGAGATGCCAGGTTATTTATTCTGTGATAGTACTTTTCAGAGAGCTGCCATTGTAAAGAGGAAAACAAAAAGGATTGTACAGCTACTTAATAGGTGGAAGCTCCCAAACATAGAACAAGCAAGAAAGGAAGCAATCTAACTACCAAGGGACTAGACATGTAACTGTTAACAACCCTATGGAATAATAAAAATGGAAACTAAGATACTCATAAGACTTCTCCTTTGTAATTTTCTTTAAGTTAACTGAGGTGGGTGTTCTTACTCAGAGATGGCCATCAGATTTGTTTGGTTCTTCTCATTCCCTTTTGTGCTAAATTCCCTTTGAACTGGAGGGAGAAAGAAAAAAACTAGCTGAGCAAGGGAGGTGAGAGCTGCTGTAGTGACCTTTCTGCTTTAGAGAGGGAGGTTAGCATTTTGAAGTGTAAATGAAGAAGGAGCCTGGGACACTTGCATGAAAAGTAACAACGCTACACACAAGATGACCTTTTGGACTGAGCCTGCACCTCTCTAGCCCTAGCGCAAGGCCAGGTTTATTTTTGTAAAGCTACTTTCCCCAGCTATCACATATTGTTTGCTACTTCGCTCTCTGCTTCTGCTTAATTAGCCCAGATAACAATACCTCAACAAAATCACCAAGGCAAGTTCACATACACTGACATATAGTGTCACCCTGCTACACTAAGACGGAGCCCCTTGCTTTTAACATCCAGAAAACACCCCTTTCTGTAAGGTGCTCTCAAGAGGGAGGTAAAGCCACAGCCTGTTTCCTTAACAGGACAACAGCAGCCACAGCCCAGCCTGTGGCTCACAACAGCATGCACACACAGCAGCATTAGGCTGCAGACACTTGCCTGAGCTGGCTGTCTTCAGGTGTGACATCCAGGGTTGATCCTGGTCTGGTGCAGCCACTCCAGCCTCTCTGCTGCTGCAGGAAAACTGGAGGCAGCTTGGCTTGGCTTTGTTTCCATGAGATGAAAGACCCCCAGGTTAGGGCTCTTCTGTAATGCTCCTGTGAAGGAAAGTGCAAATCCTGACACTTCAGTGACAGAAACACAGCCAAGAGACAACACAGAAGTGCCAGCTTTGCTTCAGCAGTGGATGTGGGGTGGGCTAGCAGCAAAGTCATCTCTGCTAAGGAGCACTGTAGCTGTGTCACTTAACTTTTCCTGTACTGGCCCTGGAGAATCAGAACTAAAGCTGGCCTTCCCCATTTACCTGCTACCTTTCCCACTCCTGTGTACACGGCCGGAAGTGCTGTTGCGCTTCCCACACCCGGGGTAATCCTCACAGGCCAGTGGGCCCACACAGCTCCCTGCACATCTTGCCGCAACAGCTGGAGACCTGGGCACATCCCATCCCTGCTGCTGCAGAAGGAAAGAGGCAGAGGGGCTGTGAGCTTGCTGGCCACAGCTGCCTGGCCAGCTGCTCTCCCAAAGCTGGGATGGTTAGGAAGAGCCACAGCAGAGGAGTAATAGGCCTTTCCCCTGTGTACTTGGAGTCCCGTATTAGCTGAAAAGAAAAAGCCAGGTCAAAGCAGTACTATTAGGAGTTTTTTAAAAAGTGTCAAAAGCATTTTAGAAATGTGTTAGCAATATGGCTTTTTTTTTTTTAAATCCACAAATTAGGTTCACAGAAAGTTTACATCCTCTGATTAGGTGTTGCTGGATTTCCCCATTTGCATTTCTGTACCTTACTGCAAAGGTGTCAAATCTGACACTTCCCTGACAAAGGCAGGAAGAGGTGAGCATTTCAGGGGTGGGACTGGAGAAGGGGCAGCAGGGGGAAAGGAAGGTTTCCAACAGCTCTGATGAAAAACCAGTGAAGCCTTTTCAAGTCCTTCTTTATAGAAACTGCCTTTATTCTTTTCCATTCCAAAGTCATACAAACAGACTAATCTGATCTGACAGTGCACTGCCTTGTAAAAGGAGAAAGGAGCAGCACACTAACAGGAGGACTCTCGTTTGATATGCGGTTGAAGAATAGAAAGAAGGGCTCATTTTCACATCTCTTTGCATGTCAATCACTCACACCTGTTGCAGGGGAAAACTGCTCCTTGTTAGACCAGGTCAATGGGGAGGACTTAGGGCTCAAATCTTCTCCTAACCTCTTGGCAACACATACTAGGTTTTTTGTCAGAGCCCTCTGGCCAGGAGGCAAGATCAAGCTTTCACATTGTCCAAATCACCTTACATCTTCTTTGTCTCTGACTAGAAAGTATCATGTAGCTCTCTGCAGAGTTTTCCTCTCCAAATAAATAAATGTTTCAGTTTCTATTCCAATTAAAAAAATAAAACAAGAATAAAAATTCAGTCCAGCCCTCAGCAGTAGGGTTAGGGTATGCACGCAGACATCATGAGGGAAATTTCTGCTAAGCAGACAGTTCATTCCTGTCTGTAACACAGAGAGCTTACATTTCTTACCATCCAAAATGCTGTCATATCCTGGCACCCAGAGCCTTGCCACATTATGGTAAAGTCTTCACAGATAACATCCATAAGGAGCCAACCAGTCTCGACATCTCCAGCAGTTGGACCCCAGTTTCAGGATTCTTCCAATTTATGGGCCCATCGCCAAGCATAGCTGTGCGCACACACACACACAGAAGCAGGTCTCCAGCCTGTTGTCCACCCTGCAAGGACATTGGTGCAGACACATGGGTTTTACAAATCTGGTGTTCAGCTTTTGGAACACACAGAGACTTTTGCCCAGGCAGCTCTTTCTTTTCTCCAGTGATGAAAACAACTGGGCCAACCAGCTCATCTCCTGCTGAGTTTGCCCTGCTAGCCACGGCTTGGACCATGCTCCCTTGGACCACGGAAACACACGAGCCAGTATGGATGAGACCCAGGAGGAGAACATCTTCTTGCTCTACAGAGGGGCACAATGGTTTGAACAAGGTCATGCAGAAAGCACATGGAAAACTCAAGGATCCTAACAATCCAGTAATCCACCTGTCTTAAACAGAAGTCTATCCTTCCTCTGCTTCCTAAGACATTTTTATTTTCTTGCATGAGATGCCTGGTTCCAAGTTGCATTTATACTCTTTCTTATAGAGATTTCCTGAGTCCACAGTTATCTAAATGATAGCGTCACTAAATTGTGCACTTTAAGCCTCTCAGGCTTCTGCATGAGCTAAGCTAAAGAAAAAGAAAAGGGGGAAAAATAGTCTCTATCCTTCCATGGGATTTTTAGGTCCCTATACAACATTAGCATTTCATTATTGTTTCCAGCAAGTGCAATTCATTGCACTGCATTTTAAGAAGGTTAAAAAAAAAAATCAAAGCTGGTGCAGAACACATTCAAACATGAAAATACACCTTACAGCAGGAGACTTTAAGCTTAATTTAGTTAAACAAGATGATGACTGAGGGTGATTTGATTAGTTATACTGCATGTGTTATATTATACATAAGTTACATTGCTCACTCACCAGCTGAGGAGGTCATGGGTTCAAAAAGTCTTTTAATCCAATGAAGTAGAGCCTTAAATACCAAGAGCTAGATAGTGAGTCCAAGCTGTTGAAATTAGAAGGAAAAAGATTGAAATTAGACACTGGAAGAAGCCATGAATTTCCTTTCTTTTAAAGTCATCAGGTCAAGTGAGACAGAGTATCTTTCCAGAAGCAAATACAAGTTCTTTGGTACAAACAAAAACTGCTTAGTAAAACAACAACATACAAGCAGTTATATTAGCTGATCCCTTCTGG